CCACAAAGGCATCATTTTCAGTGTTCTTCTGTGCACTCTGCTGGGAGGCAGGCCCCTCCGCTAAGGGAGCGGGGCAGCCAGCGCTTCCACCTTCCGCTGAACAGCATAGGTGAAGGGTGGCGAAGGGTGCAGCCATTTAACTGGGTTGATTTTGGTGTAATCTGGCCAGCTCTGCCAAACCAAAGCTGGATTCCTCCCGGCGCACAGGCTCAGCCGCGGTGCGCTCACAGGAGTCTGGCTTTTTCTGTTAGGAAGGAAATGCAGATTTATCGCTGAGAGAAAGGCAAACGACTCAGCCCGACCTTTGACCTACCCAGTGTGACGCTCTGATGATATGACAGAGGGATTGGGGCAGGGTTTGCAGAGTCTGTGTGTGGGCTGCAGCTTGTAAATGCGCCCCTCGGCCTTCAGCGGTGACAGATTAACAGCTGAAGCTCTCTCTCAAGCAGAGAGAGAGAGAAATTGAAATGTATATAGCAGTGGCGAACCGTCAGGGCCTTCAAGGTATTCAGAGAAGGCCCTGGAATCCTCAGATGAAAAAATAAAAAACATCTGATTAATTCTATAAAGAAAATAAAATTCAAATAAATAAATAAAAATCATCTCTGTGTTGCTTATCTGTAATATTACAGTGCGCATTTGAGTGGTTTGTGTTAGAAAAAAATGCAACCAATCAGATATTTTCTATGGAGTCTCTGGGGAGAATATCCTCCATCCACGGTATTCTGTATCCTTGAAAGAATGCCCTGACCATTAAATGGAATGAGAGCGTACATTTGGAGTGACAGTTTGATCAACCAATCATATTTGGATTTGTAGCCAATGGGCGTATTCTTTCAGATTTTCCCACGGCTCCAGAGTATTCTAGAAGACCGGCTCACTCACTCAGACAGGAGACCTAGCTTAGTGCTAACTAGCGATTGATAGCCAATGTCAAAAATGGCAACAGGTGGAGATGATATTGATGCAGCAGGTGGAGATGATATTGTTGCGGATTTATTATCAGTGCCCTTTTCAAGACGACCGTTCAATGAAAAGATGGACATTGAAAAAGGCCACCCAACGCCCAAACATCTCAAGCTCAATCAACCTGCAAAAGCAGGCTATGTTCGCCATTTTCAGGCTAGCAAGAGGCTCCACAGCTAGGAGTGCTTGTTGTTTGGGACCGACAAGGGTGCATGGAATTGGAAAGGCTACGAGAATCTTAGCTGTTTAACTAAGGCTGCACAAAGACACCAACACACAGCAGGTCATCTTAACCTTTTTGCATGTAACTTATTTTATGCTATGTAGCACACCTGTTACGTTGCATGGTTCATTATATTTTCTTTAGCATTATTAAGCTTCTCATAGCTTTCAGCGCCGCATTTGCTATATCTTTTAATGTTAAATCGCTGTTTCCTCAAAGCAAAAGTTAACTAGAACTGAATTTTTATCGCAGGTTTTGCTACAGTGTTGCATCTCATTGAACTGGTTGCATTTTGTTTCCACACACTTGTTGAATGACTAGTGGTGAACCTGGAAATACGACAATCTTGGCAATGTTGCCTAAATCAGATCACACAAAGTGACTGTCTCCGTGACGTCCGATAGTGTGTGTGTGTGTGTGTGTGTGTGTGTGTGTGTGTGTGTGTGTGTGTGTGTGTGTGTGTGTGTGTGTGTGTGTGTACGCGCGTAACTAGAACACAATTTTCGAAGATGGAGCATTAAAATTATATTTTGCTTAAAGCAGAAAAATGGCCAGGGACACCCCATATTTTTCGTGAGTGATTTTTTTTTTTTTTGGGGAGGTACAGAAGGCCCAGTTCTGATAAGCACGGTTTGCCATTGGTATATAGTAATCATAATAATATCTAATTGATCAATTTATAGTTTACTGTTAGATGTACTATGTAGGGTTTTATATATCAATTTAACCTGTATGTACATGTGTTTCCTTTTTATTCATAAGGTTGTGTTTGATTAATTGATGTATTGTTCGTCTTGTTGCTTTGGCAACTCAGCGATTGTCTGTCCTGCCAGTAAAACACCTTTAAATTGGAAGTGAGAGACAGAGGAGGCAGAGAAAGGGAAAGGGGGAGAGGGGGAGAGAGAGAGAGACAGACAGACAGACAGAAAAAGAAAGACAGGGAGTAACAGAGAGGAAGTAACAGAGAGAGAGACCTCAGAGAGAGGCTGAGAGCAGAGCTGTCACACAGAGACGGGCGAGCGCGGCCTGATCTCTATCAGTGCAGGAATGTGCCAGAGGAAGCGCAGGGAACAATGGCGTTTCTGCACGGCCGCCACCGCTCTCCCCACACGCTGAGAAAACAGGAAGCGGGCCACCCCCCTCCCTGTGCTCTGCCAAGCAGGACTGGCTGTCTCTCCCCTGCCGCACCACACCACGCCAGGCCGTTCGGGTCGGCTCGCTCCGTCTCAGAGTGAACATGGACGACAGGCAGAGATGAACTTCCTGTCGGTCGGTGAATTCACCGCAGCTCCTCCCTGCACTTCCTGCCTGCTCCGCTTGAGCTGCGAGAGTCTCAGCCCCCCGCCAAACTGTGGATTATGTGGCAAACATATGACACATTGCTTGGGAGGTGCTTTGAAAGCAAAAATGAAAGGGGCCATACAAGTGCAATGATTATTATCATGTAATTATAACATCACACATCTCATTTATCAGTCAAACACATACTGGCCATCACAGCCCTGGCCCAATCAGCCACCAGGCCCCGTTGGCCGACACAGCCCCGGCCCAATCAGCAGCCAGGGCCCACTGGCCTACACAGCCCTGGCCCAATCAGCAGCCAGGCCCCTTTGGCCTACACAGCCCTGGCCCAATTGCCATCCAATGCATGAGACTCACCAATACACAGAAGGCACAAGCAACTAGGGCTGCCCCCTGAAAGTCGACGAGTCGAATCATGTCGGAGACCCATCAGTCGACTGACATTCTTCAAGTCGAGCAGTCTTTTTTTTTTTTTTTTTTGTCAGTCAGTGTGCATTACAATAACAGGATAAAACAACTTGGACATCAGCGGTCCTGAAGTTCCCTTTAACTTGCAAGGTAGCCAGCTAGCTAGCTAGCTTTTACTTAGCTAGCTAGCTAGCTTGCTTGCCTTGATAACTGCACACAGCTAACATCGTTTTATTTAGCGTTTCTTAAAAAAAAAAAAAAAAAAACAAAACAGTGGTGACAATGCGATATTTTACTTAGGTTAGATGAGCGCGTTGTTGGTAAGCTTACGCAGTTAAGCTCTGTTTGAACTAATCGTGACATGATGTCCTCCCAACTGAACCATTTCCTCGGATGACAGGCACACAGAGAGGGCCGGTAAAAACTTTATAGATTTGTTGACGGTCCAGCGGCCCACCGACACAGCGGCCCACCGGGATTTGTCCCAGTATGCCCGATGGCCAGTGCACCACTGAATGCAGGCAATAAGTCTATTTACAAGGCTAATTTAACCCTTTCGCACATAACTTATTTTTTATGCTTATGTAGCACGTGTTACATTACATGGTTCGTTATGTTTTCATTAGCGTTATTAAGTTTCTCATAGTTTTCAGTTATCATTTGCTATATTTTTTAATGTTAAATCGCTGTTTCCTCAAAGCTGAGGTTAGCTAGAATTTTTCCAATCCAGATTTCTAATCGCACTGGTTTTAGAATACACGCTAAACGGCTAATCACACCGGTGTGACCGTACGCGCTAAAGGGTTAAATGCTCAAAAATATGTTCCCATGACTCTGTTGCATTTGACTATGGTAATGTGGTCAAAATCACTGAAACTCATGCCAATGGATTTTCTGCCAGATTGTTCCTTTTTTTCATATAGACTAATAGTCGAATCGTCGTATTCGCAGTACAGCCCTACAAGCAACCAAACCAAAATGCAACAAAAAGTTAAGAGGGAGAGGTAAACTTAAATACACTCTGTATGAGCTACCAGTGTAAGATTAGCCTGTATCACAATCTCGCCAACAGCTGAACTCAGCATGAGAGGAAGAGGACAAGGACAGCACGGCAGACAATGCCCTTATCAGAGCAGCCACAGATCTGAACCGTAGAGGGTTAATTGTGTAAGCACATGCAGACCATGCTGAACAGCAGCACACTCTGTTCAGTGGACTGCAGCATGCAGTTATTCCTGACAGAGTACACTGTTAATGGCTGCCTGTATTCTAGCCACATAACAGCTGCTGCAAACTAGCCATCAGCTTCTCCCAGGGGCTGCTCCTTGCCTTGCTGTAGTGTGAAGCACTGTACTGTCTGCACTGCAACACTGCACAGCCTGCACTGCTCTGAAATGCACCACTACACTGTCTGCACTGTGAGACACAGAGCCCAGCCATAATCTCATTCAGCTCCATATGCACCCCTCCCGCCTCGGCAGCGTCCCGTGGGCTTATCCCTTCCTCTGGGAGGTGAACAATGGAACAGGTTCCGGCAGAGGAAGCCCACTCCCTTTCCAGACCTGCAACACTTCCACACAATCACAGAGCCTGGCCGCGCACCAAACACTGCCCACAGAAAGGCGCACATTTACTATAAAAGGCAACTGGCTTCCAGAAGTAACTGAGATGCTGGCATGGACACAGGTCCAGGATCAGCTTAGAGGGTCAAAGTCTGGACTCCCCAGGCAGAGCAACAGCCACAGACCATAAAAAATAACTGCAAACCAGCAGTCTAAAAATAACCAGCAGAAAATACATGAGTACAACAGAAACCACACACACACAGAAACAGTAACAGCGCACACACACAACAGAAAGTGTGTACACTAATACATCCAGCCAAACCAGCTGGTGTAAAACAGCAAGACCACAGGCATACGAACACCTCCAGCCACACAGCATACATAGAAACGCAGCTAGCCTCCAGCCACATCAGGCTATGTCAGTCAATATGCTCCTCACTGCAAAGAAATAGGCTCTCACATTCTGAACTGAGCTACAGTCAGACATCCACCAGCAGTCACCTCCTACTCCCCACTGATCAGCACAAAGGCTTTCTGCCCCGGTGGCCCAGTGGTTAAGCAACTGGCCTTGTAAACAGGATGGTACAGGTTCGATTCCCGGGTGGAGCTCTACTGTTGCAGCCTTGAGCCACCTATTTAACCTGAATCGCTACAGGACAAATTCAGCTGTGGCGCAGATTATCCAGACAGAGACCTGAATCGCTGATGTTTTTCCATATCAATCTTTATACATATAATATGTGAAAAATGGAAGCTATACAAGAAATGCTGGACAAAGGCATGTGTTATGCAAATACATGACAATCATAAAAATAATATTACTATTCAATGTCCACAGCTTTTAAGAGAGCCAGGGGAATGGCAAGTGCTTCATTAATCATTCATACTGCTTTATTCAAGATGAAAACTTTTTACATACCATAGTTCCATAGAGAAGTGGCAACAGGCAGTCGGGTCCAAAACTCCAGAGATGTTTGTACAAAAATCTGCAACCAGAGAACATTTTTCACATTCAGAAATCAATCACTGAAAAGGGCCGTGACCAATGAGCGAGAAGTTGATCAGTCCCTGAGCAAGCGGGAGGGCACTCCATTCACTGCCTGTTTGCTCTGTGGCCTTGCACAGCCACTGAGGGGCCAGAGGTCAGGTCATATGTTAACTTTTGCCCTCTCAGCTGACAGGCTCACAAAGGTGCTGTGACATCACATCGGTGTTACCAGAATCCCCACTGCAATTGTACATGAAGATTTACTGGATGGTCAACTTAAATTATTCGCATTTCCAACAACTCCACAGGTCTGTCAGAGGCCGTCAGGAATTAGTGTGGAAAACCGCAGGAAGCTCAGCGGAGGCAGGTGTGGTTCTGAGACTGGCCACTTCATTGCCACGGGAGGTTAGTGGGCGGGACGCACCAAACGCATGCAGGAACTATGCAACGGAATTAGCCAATGAGGCGCTTTCCCTATGGAAATGTGACCCACTGTGTGGATATAAGTCAGGGAAGGTGGAAGTCTGGAGGCTGCTGAGGTAAAGCAGGGGTTGGAGGGTGATTTCACAGGCTGTCAGTGACTATTGGTTTAATGCATGCAAGGGTATAACTACCACAGTGCAGGACTCCTTTAGGAGCAGCACAGGTGATGACCCTTGACCCTGTCGGCCTCCACCCCAAAACAGTGTCCCCCTCAGCAGGCAGATGCACTGGAGGCAGGTACACACAGATACAAACACTAAAGTAAAACCGAGAGAGAAACAGACCAGCGAGCTGAACACAGATCATGGAGCGTATGAACAGATCAGCAAGTCGGAGCTGCAGAACTGGGAACCCCCGCCCCACCCCAATTCACACCACAGACACATTCTTCAGCGTATTCCCATGAGAGCAACACAAACACACAAAAATAAAACATGTCACACTTTCAATTTCCCTTTCACACCTTGGGTTCTCTCTGCCTGCCCAGTGAGTACGTGTCCTTGTGCAACTCTCTCGGCAGCCTGCACTCAGCAAACTGAGATGCACAGACTGCGCTGCAGACCGCACTATGCAGACTGACCTGCTCGGAACAAGCTGCAGACTGTACAATGCAGACTGAACTGCTGACTGCACTATGTAGACTGAGCTACGCAGTAGAGCTGGACCCGAATATTCAACTATTCGGATATTTGTTTGTTGGGTAGGTATTCGGTTTTCAATTTTGGGATTCCGATATTCGTTTTTTCCATTAAAGGCGAACTGCAAAATACATTTTGTCAGCACATTCTTGTACTATATTTATACTTTTTAATTGCACTGTTAAAATATATACCATCTCAGTCTGGGCGCCTGACATCCCTCTCACACACAACAGTGAACATCATGGTGATGGGAAATAAAAAGTAGGCAGTGATCGCCGAGCTCGTGCTTTGGGACTCAAACGGAGGGTCTAATTGTTTCAACTGACCCCTAGTGTCTTGTTGGAGCTAGTATGCGGTTTGTTGGAGCTAGTATGCGGTTTCTGCGCTTCTGTGCTTCTGTTTCACAGCGCTTTGTCAGGCGTTGTCTCAGATTCGGAGCCTATTATTATGAGCATTTATGTAGGTGCATAGATAGGACCTCGTTCAACCAAACCCCTCGGGATTACAAACATGCATAAAACACACCAAACCTTTTGGAAAATGTTTTTTATTAACAAATAACAATACAAACAACAACACTAGAATAACAGAAGTCTTAAAAATTAATGCCTTTAATTAAACCAAAAGACACGTGTTGCAGCGCTATGCCATCAATCTCAGCTGAGAATGGAAAAATGTCTGGCTGAGTCCTTCCCGAGTCATGCTCAGCAGCCCCCCCCCACCACCTGAAACTTCGAATATTCGCTGTTGATTACTACCGAAGCTCTGGAGCCCAAAAATGGTATTCGGGACAGCTGTACTACGCAGACTCCATACAGAACGGTGCCATTCAGCACAGACGGCTTGACCCCACACAGCATCACGGTGAGAGCCCAGGCAAAGCAGAGCAGAGGCAGGCATGTCTCTTACTGCTCCACTGCACAGCACTCTGCCCCACCTGTCCTCAAACCTGCAAACTCCTGATCAGAGGCCCAGCAGTGAAAACCTCTACCCTGCATGCATCAGTCAGATGTTTGGCTCCCAAAAGCCATGCTCAGATGCCTGCTTGCCACTACCCTTCCACAAATGCCACAGAAAAAACCCAGGCCACTGGGGTGCAATCAATCTTTATGTTACCATGGAAACAACCAAAGCTTTCACTCTGGCACCCCATGAAAGCACACCATCGCCCTCTTCTACGATTGGCTCAAATGTGTCAGATGAGCAATAAAGTGTGCAAAGGCACTGGAGCCTGAATGTACATGGAGCAAGCAGCTTCACGTTTTGCACAGACTCAGCGCATGCATGATGGGGAAAGGGAAGCAATTCTTCCTACTTCCCACTGTGCATCAACCGTGAGGATTTCCCAGCATCAGCATCAACAGAAAGAAAACTAAAACTAAGAGAATAAAACAGTGCAAACAACACAATGTGCTAGAGAGCTGGGGGCTGGCTCTGCCTTTGTCATATGAAAGGTGATGTGACATTCTGTTTCCTGAGCCTCACCTCAGAGACAGACAGACAGACAGACAGACAGACAGACACACACACACACACACAGAGGACTGCCTGGCTCTTTTAGTCATGACACCATCAGGGGTTCTAGAGCAGAGAGCGCACTGAGAGAAACTACACTTTCAAATCAACCAACAGCAGCGCTGACACCATCATGAGAGAAACCAGCCACTGTCCAATGGGGCTCTATGACAGACAGAGGCTTTCATTCCTGCCTCAGACAAACTTCCCCACAAGCAGAAGGGACAGAGAGGACCGCATAATGAATGCAGTCAAACCTAATGCCATTTCAGCAGCCTGCAAACACTCACCAAGGCATGAAGAGTGACAAAAAACACAGCAGTTATTTGCCTGTTAGTCTGCCTGTGTGTGTGTGCGTGCGTGTGTATGCATGCGCACAAGGCTTCATGCCTCCACATGCATCCTCAAGTCAGCATGCCAGTGCAGACTTGCTGACCTTTATGTTATGTGTATTGGCTGACATTGTGGGCTCAGGGAATATGATTCCATCCCATTGACATAATGATCAGCAAAGCTGCAGTAGCAGCGATGCAGAAACAAAGGAGGCCTGCTGGCCCATGGGGCGGGCGTTCACACAGAGCTCCAATCACAGCCTGCTGTTTCAGGACGAGGGGTCTGTGGGGTGACCTGTGCCTATAAATCACACTACTTTCTAGGGCTGTATCGAATGCCATTTTTTGCCAATCGAATTTTAGCCAACTGTTTTTCCAAACGAAGCTTTGAATGTCTGTGACGTGACGTCTGTTGTTTCGGGATACTCTACTTTCTACTCAAAAATATGAATAAAGAGATGAATATGAGAAACTGCTTTTTACACACTTTTTAAAAGTTTAACACTCTTTAATAGACATCATTTAGTAACCATAAGAGCATCAACATAAAGAATCCAGTGTCTGACATTAAATTATAGGCCTGATGAAAACCGACGTTTTGTAAACCTATGGTCTATGCTAAACAAAGCTGCAAACTATGCTTAAATTGTTTAGAAAAATAAATAAAATTCTTTAGGCCTTATAACGGAGATTGTGTAAAAAGTCATCAGCTATCTTACCAAAATGAAATGTTCTTAAAGCCTGATAATAAAGTAACTTTGCCACACTCATCAGTAGCTGTCAAATATGGTCCACAAATGCGATATATAGTCTAAAAAAAAAAAAACAGTCTGTGGACAAAAAAATAAGAACGAAGACTCCTTCTGATAAGGAGGTTACACCTGCTCTTGTTTATTCCTTCACTTGTTTAATGTTGCAGGCCAAGGCCACAAGCTTGTTTACACTGGCTGGCTTAAGTGAGCTTCTCGCTTTGCTGACAATGAATCCCGCTTTAGAAAAAATCCGCTCTGCAGGTGTTGAGGTTGCTGGGATGCAAAGAAGGTATCTCGCTGCCACAGATAGTTTAGGATAGCAGTCAGAATTTTTTTCCACCATGCTAATGGCCCAGATTCCACCTTTGTCTTGTCATTTAGGTATTCCATAATTTCACTCCTCTCATCCTTCTCGCAGACATCTTCCTCGTCTAAATTTAACAGCATCTCGATGTCCCTCTGTTTGTTAGTCTTCGTCTTATCAGGTGGGGCAGTGGCTGCCTCCTCTGAGCGACTGCCTTCGTGTAGTAAACTTCCCATATCTTGCGGGGTGGCTTTGGCCTCCGTTGTATTTTCTAGATGCAATAAATGCCTGGTAAGCTTGGCAAGCTTTGTGTAAACCTCATCTTTCTGGCCATTTTCAAGGAATTTCAAACGTTTGGATCCTTGGATCCACTGCAGTACCCAGAACGTGAACACTGGTCACGTCTAATGGTGTCCAGTGAAATCTCCGGTTAATCTCTTCTACTAGTTTCTGTTTTAGTACCCTGGTAGAAGGAGTTTCATCCTGTTCTTGGGTCAGAGGACGTCTTTTTACATTCATCAGCATAGGGACAACTGCTGATAACGAAGCATTACAGTGGTCCCCCCTTATCCGCGGTTTCAGTTACCCGCGGTC